TGTTAGCTCACGGCCAATCTTCCTCAGCAAAAAGAGGAGGATTTGGTGGCAGATGTTAGCTCAGGGCTAATCTTCCTCAAAAAAAAAAAAGATTCATTTTTGCTATTGTTTATAGTATCCACTCCTCTCCCCTATATGCTTAATGTGTTATATTTCTTGAAAGGTTGGTCTTCCTACCAGAGTGTAAGTTGCTTTGTAGAAAGAACCTTTTCTTGAAACCTTGAATGTGTTTAGTAAATTGTGCATCAATTAATAAGACCACCTATGGGGTTAAGGAAGGGATGAAACTTGCTTGAAGGGTAACTTGTGATGGGGATGTGGGTGTTGAGGCTGTCTTTCTGTATCCTTAGCCCACTTACAAGAAGCGAAGGTTGGATGAATGTGAAGAGGCCTTCCAAGGTAAGAGCCACCCCCATTCCCTAGTTTGCAGCCCTGAGAAGCAGGATGGATCTGGTATTCTCCTGGCCAGGAAGTAGGATCTGATTTTATTTCCCAGTCTTAGCATTCCCAAGTTCTCCTAACATGGCTGTCATTTAGCTCTCTAAACCTAATTTTCCAATAAACAGGAAGGGTTTGACTTAGTGTGGACTACCAAGGGAGAGAGATTGGAGGTGGCTACCCATTGCAGATCTTTCACAGAAATTCCAATTCCTTGCTATTTTTTCCTCTTCAGTAATAATTGGTATATTAAGTCTCTAGAGCATATTTTAATTTCCTTATTTTCCAGTCTTTTGGCACACCTTAGACACTCATTTGTTAATGTGTATATTCTCTCTTTTTAAATCTGTTGGTGGTGTCATGGTTTGTAGATAGAGATGTGATAAAAAGAAAAAAAAGGCAGAGGTCATATCTCATGGGAAAGAAGAGAGAAAGGTGGGGCATGCTATGTCTTGCCCTCCACCCCAGTCATTTGAACTTCCTTGCGTCTCTGCCAGGAACCAAGGTGTTTGTGATGCCCAATGGGATGCTTAAAAGCAACCAGCAGCTCGTAGACATTATTGAGAAAGTGAAACCTGAGATCCGGCTGCTGATCGAGAAATGCAACACGGTGAGGCACGGGCTAGTGACCTATGGGCTGACCCCAAATAGCCTGGCTTGAACTTGAAAAATGATGGGTGGGGGGCTGGAGGCATGGAGGTGTTGTGGGAACTGGCAGGCTAAGTATCTTGGCTTCTGTGTTCCTGGCATCTGACCCCAGCAACCTGAATTGTATACTTCATGGCTTCAGCAGGAAAGGCCAACGTCCTCATATATATGTTTTGGTCCCCTTACCCTTTAGGTCAAAATGTGGGTACAGCTTCTGATTCCTAGGATAGAAGATGGGAACAACTTTGGGGTGTCCATTCAGGTAACATGCTTGCATTATAAACTGGAGGGGAAGGCTTGGGAGGTAATCTCATCTCCCCTGCTTTGGCTGTTTCCTTTTCTCTTTAGTCTGCTGTAAGGTAACATGAAAGTGACTTTTGACTCACTTGATTTTTTCAGGAGGAGACAGTTGCAGAACTAAGAACCGTTGAGAGTGAAGCTGCATCTTATCTGGACCAGATTTCTAGGTAGGGCTACTTGGGCTTGGCCCAGGAAATGGGGGCTGGTAAGTACTGTCATCCAGAGTCTCCTGCAGCTTCCTGCTCTTCTCTCTCCTTCCAGATATTATATTACAAGAGCCAAATTGGTTTCTAAAATAGCTAAATATCCCCATGTGGTAAGTAAGGGTTTTGTGGCCTGAGGGTGGAAATGGTAGAATAGGGAGGAGTGACTGTTAGTGGGAAAATGCTGTCTGTGGACAGTCAGGCCTCGCAAACTAGCGTTTTCTCTGCCCCTCCTTTCAGGAGGACTATCGCCGCACCGTGACAGAGATTGATGAGAAAGAATATATCAGCCTTCGACTCATCATATCCGAGCTAAGGAATCAATATGTAAGTAACCTTGGTCCCTGCCCACAGTGCCCTGGCTTCTCTTAGTTCTAGTGATAATTTTCTTGCCACTCTCTAGGGGCCAAGATAGGGGATGAAGGTATAATGAGTAGAGCAAATTCTGCTCATCAGCTGAGTGTTAAGAACTATGAGATCATTGAGGGTGTCTAGCTGGGTATCTCCTTTCTCTCTACCTGGATGGGAGGGAATGTAGTATAGTATAGGGGTGAAGATGCGCATCAGACAGACTCAGGCACAGAGCCAACTCTACCTGTAATGTGTGGCCTTGGGCAAGTTGTTTAACCTCACGCCTCAGTTTCTACATCTCTGAAATGAAATTTATAGTCAAGTATCTACTGCACAAAAATGGTTTTTAAAAACAAGCGAGATACCACATTAAAGGACCCCAGGCAATTCTTGGTATGGTAATTGCTCAATAAGTGTTAGTTGCTATTAGACACTCAGGGCATTGGAAATACCCTCTTAAACCTGGTTTGGAGGATAAGAGAGGCGGGGGAGCCACTTTGAATTCAAGTTCCCTGAGTGAGATTGGGATTATGTGAATGGTTGCTTGAGGATTTGGAGGGGTCTGGTTTTCTTCGTGGACTGGGGGTAGAACAGAGGTGTGATTCCATGAATCCTCTTCTCCCAGGTCACTCTACATGACATGATCCTGAAAAATATCGAGAAGATCAAACGGCCCCGGAGCAGCAATGCCGAGACACTGTACTGAGGCCAGGGCCAGGGCCAGGGGACTCTGTGAGTCTGGCTCAAGACCGACATTGCCTTGGTTTGTTACATGACTATCGTGATGGGGAAACTGGCTGGAAATAGTAATCACACCTCTCTTTGTTTTTAGTTAGAGTCTAATGAAACTCTCATGTAGTTCTGTGACGTGTTTACCTCTTTTTTCAGGCCTCAGGAACTCTTCTATTTCTTTTCCTAATAACCCACACCCGACCTGTCCTAATTTCTGGAGAACTCCAGGTTTGTGTGCACAGGATGTTAGCACAAGAATACTTGTATTCTCTCCCCCGCCACCCTCACCCTGTGTCTTGGGCTTTGTGTTTTCTTCCTTTTGAAGATTAGTTGGTTAGAAGCTGAGCGAACTGGAAGGAAAATGCTAGGTGTTTTTTAGGAACTGTGATTGGAGGTACCAGCTCCTCTCTTCCTGACATAAAGTTAGTGTCTCTTTCCGCTATGGGATGTTGGATCCTCCTTGCCACAGTTGCCCTGGTGATGACTTAGGATTTCCCATCTGCACACATCCCACCTTGAACCTGATCATGACAAGAAACATCTTAGACCTTCAGCCAAGTCCCTAGCTTCTTTAGATGTTTTTACAACTAGGATTTTCACATACATATATGTGCGTGATATACACACACATACAGACTCACACGAACACGCCTTCCTACTTCTTTGCCTGACCCCCGCCTCCCCTCACGAATCCTGTCTCATACACACCATTCAGAGGGTGATAGTTGTCTTAGTCTTCAACCACTGGGCCCCCGCCGTCTCCTGATATTCCAGCCTCTTGGTGTCCAGAGGTTGGTGAGTTGGAGGAGAACCGAGAGATGAGAAGCAGAGGGATTGGGGAAGGCCCCATCCTCTGTGATTCAAGTCTCTTTGGGCGTTATTGCAAAGGCCAGTCCTCTGACTCCTGGTTGCCTCTTCCCAGGCCAGTTGTAAATTGGGATGGGCGTGTGTGCAGCTGTGAGGGCCAGATGCTGCTTTTCCTGTTGGGCTTTCCCTTTGGGAAAAATATTTCTCTTATTTATAGTATTGTGCTTCCAGGGAAGGCAGTCTCTTGTGTGTATACATGTGTGTATGCACACACATGCATGTACACATTTTGTGTATGTGGAAAGCTGCTGGGCAAGTCAAACCATAGAAGAGTTGCCTCATATCTCTTGAATCTTCCAGAGATGTCACTTGTGAAAGCTTTTGTGTTAATCCTCATCAACCCCCACTTTTTTATTCTACCGCTACTGAAGAGTTGATATCTACAGTCAGCCTGCCGGTGACTCTCAGTGTCTGTTTCTGACTTTTATTCTTCCCCTGTCTCTGTCTTCCAACCCCCAATCATATTTCCACCTGGATGCATCATTTTGACTCCCAGTATTCTATAGAGAAGGAGTGAGGATGCTGTCTTCCCATGAATAGTACTCAGTAACAAACCAATTGCATTTTAGTTGGGGAGTGCCCCCCCTACCCATCCTCCAGATCCCTTCCAGCTAAAACCCTTCCCTCCTCCTGCCACATGTTTCTCAATTTCCCTTTTTGTTTGTTGGATTGTTCCCACTGCCCCTTCTTCTCACCCTACCACCCTCGGATCATAATGTAAAATTCTTTTACCATGTCAAGAAATTATTAAAAATACAGGTACTTTGACCTCTTTCTAAAGCCGCAGACCCTGATGCGATGCTCTGGTGGCTAGGGACATTCCCATACTCATGTGCATGCACATTGGGACACCCACCTCCACATACACCTCCAGCCACCCTGTTGGGTGTTTTTATACCCTTTGAGCTGCCTCTTTTCTCTGGAATAATGGAAAGACTCAGGCTTCTGCCTACCAAGAGGCAAGGGTGGGTCCTTCATTTGTGTTCGGTCTGAATTATGTGAAAGTTAGCTGTTCCCAGACCTAAGCTGCCTTCTGTCCCTACCCTCACAAGATCCCAGTTCCTTCCTACCCTACCTCCAGTGATACCCATGAACTGCCAGTAGAGGCTGCTCTAGTACCGTGTATGGGGAATCACCTGGTTCAAGGCACACCCTACCCTGTCGTTTTCTTTACCTTATACTAATTCTTCCCTCTGAATAATGTCTTAAATTTCTTGAGGATATACCAGGGACCCCTGGTTTTGGTTTTCAAATGACTTGGGGGCTGTCTAGGACCCTAGCTCCCTCTGAAATAAAGTTTCTTCAACTTCCACCTTGCAAAGTCGCCTCTGGTTTCCAATGATCCCCTCATTGTCTCTGCAAAAAGAGATTTAAGATTAAGATTGAACAGTGGAGGAACATCTGCTCTATTCTGTTTCAGAGGGCAGTACCAGTAGCTAAGGATTTTTGAATGCCTAGCCTGTATCAGGCTCTGTTAAGCACTTTGTGTGCATGATCACATTTAATCTTCATGAAATCTATAGTGTAGTTTTATCCCTTCTTTATAGGTAAAGGCACTGAGGCTCATGATAAGTAACTCCCCTGTGGTCACCCAGCTTAGGGACCTGGGATTGGTATATAAATCTGATTGCTAAGTCCAGGTCCTCACCACTCCTTCTTTCTCACTGACTATGTAGAAGAGGCCTGAGACCACAAATCAAGGGCTTGGCCTTAGGCAACTGGCAAAACACAGTGCATATTGCTGAACTGGGCAGTGGATCCTGGAAACATTAGGAGGTGGTGCCTGCCAGGAGGTAGGAAAATGGACAGTTATAATTTCTGCATGTAGCACACAGGACTTGATTGGGCATCTGAGATTTGCACTCTTCCTCAGACCCATTTTGGGTGGAAGGTAGAGGTTAGCATTAATCCAAATGCCCCCTAATCTGGTCTAAATGATGGAAATCAGTAGTGGGATTAACTGTGCTGGCAGGTGTTCAGTGGCAGGGGAGGCTATGCACATGGAAGTAGCGCCTTGAGCCAAACCACAGAACAGAAAATTGGAGCAGAATTATATAAATCAAGGTCAGAAATTTCCTGTCCAGCCCACAGGGTGGAGTTTTCTCCATTCCTGTCCATCCTACTGAATATAAACCATGATTTGATGTGGAAGGGGAAGCTGGTAGGACTCTCATTTCAGCTCAGCATTCACCATGAATCTCAAGGTAGTCCTCGTGTTCCTGGCGCTGTCCCTCATTACCATCTTTGCCCTGACCTATGTCTTGCTGACCAGCCAAGGTGCCTCCAGCCAGCCTCCTCGCTGCCCCTCTGTATCCCACAGTGCCCAGTCCTGGACACACCCTGGCCAGAGCCAGCTGTTTGCAGACCTGAGCCGAGAGGAGCTGATGGCTGTGATGAGCTTTCTGACCCAGCAGCTGGGGCCTGGCCTGGTGGATGCTGCCCAGGCCCGCCCCTCGGACAACTGCGTCTTCTCAGTGGAGCTGCAGCTACCCCCCAAGGCTGCAGCCCTGGCCCACCTGGACAGGGGAAGTCCCCCGCCTGCCCGAGAGGCACTGGCCATCGTCTTCTTTGGCGGACAACCCCAGCCCAATGTGAGTGAGCTGGTGGTGGGACCGCTCCCACGTCCCTCCTACATGCGGGATGTAACAGTAGAGCGTCATGGGGGCTCCCTGCCCTATCACCGACGTCCCTTGCTGGGAACTGAGTTTGCCCAGATGGAGAAACATTTGAAAGAGGTGGAGCTACCCAAGGCACCAGTCTTCCTGGCTTCTGTCTTCAACTACAATGGCTCCACTTTGGCATTTTTGCACGCCACCCCTAGGGGCTTACGCTCAGGGGACCGTGCTACCTGGATAGCCCTCCACCATAACATCTCAGGTGTTGGGATTTTCCTTCACCCAGTGGGGCTGGAGCTACTGCTGGACCACAGGGCCCTGGACCCTGCCCACTGGGCTGTCCAGCAGGTCTTCTACCTTGGGCGCTACTATGCAGACTTGAGCCAGTTGGAATGGGAGTTTAAGGCTGGCCGGCTGGAAGTGGTTAGAGTTCCTCTACCCCTGCCAAATGGGGCTTCATCCCTGAGATCCCGGATCTCCCCAGGTCCTCTTCCCCCTCTTCACTTCTCACCCCAAGGCTCCCAATACAGAGTACAAGGGAACCTGGTGGTATCCTCTCTCTGGGCATTTACCTTTGGCCATGGGGTGTTCAGTGGCATGAGGATTTTTGATATTCGGTTCAAGGGTGAGCGGGTGGCCTATGAAGTCAGTGTCCAGGAGTGTGTATCTGTCTATGGTGCCGATTCACCCAAGACAATGTTGACCCGATATTTGGATAGCAGCTATGGACTTGGCAGTCACAGCCGGGGCTTGGTGCGTGGAGTGGACTGCCCCTATCAGTCTACAATGGTGGACATCCACGTATTAGTGGGCAAAGGGGCAGTCCAGCTACTCCCGGGGGCTGTGTGTGTATTTGAGGAGGCCCAGGGACTCCCCCTTCGAAGGCACCACAATCACATAGAGAGTCATTTCTATGGTGGTTTGGCTGGCTCGGCCCTTGTAGTGAGGTCTGTGTCATCTGTAGGCAATTATGACTACATTTGGGACTTTGTATTGCACCCAAATGGGGCGCTTGAAGGGCGGGTCCATGCCACGGGCTACGTCAATACAGCTTTCCTGAGTGGGGGAGAGGAAAGCCTCCTCTTTGGGAACCGTGTGGGAGAACGAGTGCTGGGGGCAGTGCACACGCATGCCTTCCACTTCAAGCTGGACCTGGATGTGGCAGGTGAGTGCTTGTGGGATGAGGATTGAGAGTTGGGGTGGTGCAGAGGGAAGGGAGACCCCCAAATCAAGCCGGAAGAGGCAGGAGGGTGGCGTTCCAGACCACAATTTATTGTGGCATCAGATCAGGGACTGATTTGAGTGTGTTTAGTTGCTATCAGCCTGAAATACTAGGCTTACTGGGTATCTGGTAAAAGGTAGAGAGAGCTCCCCCGCCCAGCTCCCATCACCCAGCCCCTCTGACTTGCTGCAATTGTGAAACTAGTTGAAATGTAATGGCTGTGCCTTGCTGCCTTAGCCTTGAGTGACTCCGTGGGTGATGAATTTGCCTTATCTGAAGCTGCATGGGGGGCTGGAGTTGGGGCTGTCTGAGTTCTTCCTAACTAGTTCTGAGGGTCAAGGGAGGTGGGCAAAGCAGGGACCTTAGCAGAGGTAGGAAGCAGTATGTCTAAAGAGGTTTCAGAGTAGAGGTGGTCCAGGGGGTTACTATCTGGGGGTTGCGCCACAGGATTTCAGACAACTGGGGATACAGGATGGTGGCCCCATCCTCCTGGGGTGGGCCATCCATTCCTGACAGCACGTGTCATCATAATGGGCTCTCTGGTGACATGGCAGGCACACAGTAGGCTTACTCCAAGTGTCGAAAGGGATTTCTCAAGTAGGGCTCAGAGCACAAAGAGGACTTGCTGCTCCTGACAGATTTTTGTCAAGGACAGAAAATGACTAACTTATCAAATCACAGACTGTTAGACCCAGAAAGAAAATTAGAAATCCACTAGACACTCTCTATTTTACAGTTAGGGAGACTAAGGAGGGTGGGGGAAGATGGGACAGGAAGTGACTGCCCAAGTATAATGCACTGCATCTAAGCTTATTTCTTGCAAAACATTTTCTTATCTTCGAGTATAAACACATGGTGTGTGTGTGTGTATGTGTACTGGTGGGGGGGGGGGCGCGGGGTGCAGGTATAGAGGGGAAGGAGAACTAAGAAAATGCATGATTGAAATGAGCTTATTAACTAGGATGATTCTTTGACATATTTGGGATATGACTGTTTTCTGATTGGAAGTTTCTCTTCAGCATTTTTGGCATTAAAGAGCCTTGTTGGGAAGTACAATAAAAAACATTTATTGGATCCTTAGAGTGTGCAGCACAGGCTGGTGCTGTGGGCCAGAGGACAATAACTGGCAGAGGCACTGACTCCAGTAGAGCCCTTCTGTATGTCATGTTTAAAGGAACTAACAGTCCGAACCTGCAGAAAGAAAGGGTATATGAGCCAGTGCTGAGTGGGGTGCTGAGTGCAGGTTATGAATGCAGTAGGGTTCCAGGGAGCTCCCAGACAGCTTAAAGATAGAAACTACTCACTTCTGAAAAAGATGGAAAGTGGTCCCCACCTTGTTGAGAAAGCAAGTCTCAGAGCTGGGAGGAGTGTGCAGGGCACTATGGAAGGGGATTGGTTTTCCCAGCCAGCTTCTCCAGGACAAATATTATCCCTTTCGTAGTTACAAGAATGTTACCAGCCACCTGCATGTGCTTTTCCATTTACAGAACTCCCATAGAACAGCTTTTATTATGCCCAGTGCAGAGATTCAGAAAGTGAGAATCAGTGGAGCTAAGAATTGGTCCAGGGTCTGTTGGGCAGGCCAGTGCTAATAGAACTGTTTGCAGTGTTGGAAATGCTCTATATCTTCATTGTCCAATACATTAGCCACTAGCCACATGTGGCTATTGAGCACTTGAAATGTGGCTAGTGTGACTGAGGAACTGAATTTTTAACTTAAATGGAAATAGCCACTTGTGACTGACAGTAACCATATTGGACAGGGCAGGTGCAAAGAAGGTGGGCTAGCGCTCGAATCCAGGCCTTCTGCCTCCAGCACAGAGTGCTGTCTGGTGAGCTCTGCTGCCCTTTGTTAGGGCAGTGCAGTGGGCACCCTGGGGAAGATGAGAGACCTGTCTCACCTGGTATGGAACTCCTCTCCTTCCCCTCACCCTGGCAGGGCTGAAAAACTGGGTGGTAGCGGAAGACGTGGTGTTTAAACCTGTGGCAGCCCCTTGGAGTCCGGAGCACCAACTGCAGCGCCCACAGCTGACTCGGCAGGTCCTGGGAAGGGAGGACCTGACAGCGTTTTCCTTGCAAAGCCCCCTTCCCCGCTACCTTTACCTGGCTAGCAACCAGACTAATGCCTGGGGTCACCAGCGCGGGTATCGAATCCAGATCCACAGCCCCCTCGGCATACACATGCCCCTGGAGAGCGACATGGAAAGGGCCCTCAGCTGGGGGAGGTGAGGAGGGCCCTGGGCACTGGGTGGTAGGGAAGGACTGGTCCCCTTCCCCTTCCCAGCTCTGGGAGACCCCAACTCACTACCCCTGGCTTACCATTCACCCCTGTCCCTCCTCTCAGATCCAAGTAGATAATGGGAATGGGAAATAGTCTCACACAGAATCTGATCCAGAGGACTTCTGGACTGGTAAAGGCCCTTGACGTTTTCTGACACCACCTTCCTACAACGTTCCTGGTCAGATACCAGCTCGTGGTGACCCGGAGGAAGGAGGAGGAGTCACAGAGCAGCAGCATCTATTACCAGAATGACATCTGGACCCCCACTATGGCCTTTGCTGACTTCATCAACAATGAGACTCTCTTAGGAGAGGTTGGTAGCCCTAGGGGCAGAGGAGAGGAGCTCCTCTGTGCCTGGCATCTTGGCTGCCCAGCCTCTGGCTGTAGGTTGGAGGGAATGGTAGGTTTCCGTGTCTCAGATTCAGAGACCAAAGAGTTCTCTGATGACCAACATGGGTCATCCCTCCTGGAGTGCGATTAGCCCTGGGACATGGACTACCCTACAGCATCTCACATGGATCACCACAGCTGTTTTGTGGGCCTGGGGCTGGGCGGAGGTGGAAGCAGGGCTGAGCCTGGAGATTGGGAATTGTGGCTGAGGGGTGGTTCTCTGGGTGTCACCTCCGAAGTCCTCCAGCTTCTCCCTCTTCCTGCAGGACCTGGTGGCTTGGGTTACGGCCAGCTTCCTGCACATCCCCCACGCTGAGGATGTCCCCAACACAGTGACTGTGGGGAACAGAGTTGGCTTCTTGCTCCGGCCCTATAACTTCTTTGATGAAGATCCCTCCATCTTCTCCCCTGGCAGCATCTACTTTGAGAAGGGCCAGGATGCTGGGCTCTGCAGTGTCAACCCTGTGGCCTGCATCCCTCACCTGGCAGCCTGTGTCCCGGACCTGCCCCCTTTCTCTTACCAAGACTTTTAGTCCTGAGGATGTGGTAGGACACAGAGTTGGGGTGCTGAGACATATGTACCTTCCTCTCTCTGTTCCCACTTCTTGCTCCCCTGACTCTCAGCCTCTTAATGTTTCTTAGGAAACAGCCTCCTCCCACAATAAACCCCCATATATCCTTTTGGTTAATTCTTATTTCCAGTTCATTTTTTTAAATGATGAATTTATGCAAATGATATTAAAATATTCAAGCAACACCACCACACACCTACCACTTAGAAATAGCCAGTGTCGGGGCTGACCGTTAACGTTCAGCTTGCTCTGCTTCAGCAGCCCAGGTTCAGTTCCCAGATGGGGACCTACACCACTCGTCAGCAACCAGGCTGTGGTGGCAACCCACATACAAAATAGAGGAAGATTGGCACAGATGGTAACTCAGGGACAATCTTCTCCAAGCAGAAAGAAGAAGATTGGCAACAGATGTTAGCTCAGGGTGAATCTTACTCAGCAAAAAAAAAAAAAAAAAAAAAAAATTAATAACTAGTGTTCACATTTAGTGGACATTATACCAGACATTTCTTTATGCATGTGCATCGAAATGGAAGAATAGATAGGATTTTGTAAAAATAGATGGTATATGCAATTTATAATAAAAATATTACAAGATTTTTATTTGAATTTCTTCTATTTGACTTGAAGGATCTAGAATCTCCCAGAGAATATTAAGGACTCTGGCCAAGGAAATTAGAAATGGGAGAGAGAAGGCAAGGGGGACAGACTAGGCCAAGAAATGCTGTTTGGGAAGCTGAAGGGCTGGGGGTGGGGATTTCCTTGGAAGGAAAATAATAGTTGCAAGTTACAGGAAAGGGAACATCTGTCCCTGAGCACATGGGGGCTGGGCAAGAAGCGGGCTGAGGGGGATGAGGGGCTGCTTTGCACAAACTCGGCTCCTGGCTGGTGGTGCATTTCCGTGCTCAGGCTAGCCAGCTGTATTATCTTGAAAACTGCCGCCCTCTCTCCCCCCACCCCCCCCCCACTTCCTCTTACTCCAGCTCTCTCCAGCTCCAAACCTGACCCAGAGAGCAGAGTCTGATTTGGAGCCTGGAGGACAAAGCCATGTAAGGTCTGTGGAAATCGCTGCTGCCCTGCTTCAGACCCGCCCCCCAACTCTGGCCCGCCCCACCCCTCTCCCCAGCCTTCTCTGTTCTTCCCACTCTCAGTCTCCTATGCGTCTGAAGACTGGGAACCTCAGCCAGCATCCAAGATCCCCCAATATAGGAACCAAGAGAGACCCTCTTCTGCTGGCCTGAGAATACAAGTCTCAACTCTGGCTCAATCTTCTGTCCCTCTGCTCGCAGGACAATGAACCAGAAGACCACCCTGGTGCTCCTTGCTCTGGCTGTCATCACCATCTTTGCTTTGGTGTGTGTCTTGCTAGCTGGCAGGGGAAGAGATGGGGGTGAAGTCAGCCCACCTCCCCACTGCCCCTCTATATCTCCCAGTGCCCAGCCCTGGACACACCCTGGCCAGAGCCAGCTGTTTGCAGACCTGAGCCGAGAGGAGTTGACGGCCGTGATGAGCTTTCTGACCCAGCAGCTGGGGCCTGGCCTGGTGGATGCTGCCCAGGCCCGCCCCTCAGACAACTGCGTCTTCTCGGTAGAGCTGCAGCTACCCCCCAAGGCTGCAGCCCTGGCCCACCTGGACAGGGGAAGTCCCCCGCCTGCCCGAGAGGCACTGGCCATCGTCTTCTTTGGCGGACAACCCCAGCCCAATGTGAGTGAGCTGGTGGTGGGACCGCTCCCACGTCCCTCCTACATGCGGGATGTGACTGTGGAGCGTCACGGGGGCCCCCTGCCCTATTACCGACGCCCCATGTCGATCCGAGAGTACCTGGACATAGACCAGATGATCTTTGACAGAGAGCTGCCCAAGGCTGCTGGTCTCCTCCACCACTGTTGCTTCTACAAACACCAAGAACGGAACCTGGCGACGATGCCCACAGCCCCAAGTGGTCTGCAATCAGGAGACCGGGCCACCTGGTTTGGCCTCTACTACAACATCTCAGGAGCTGGGTTTTACCTGCACCCTGTAGGGTTGGAGCTGCTGGTAGACCACAAGGCTCTGGACCCTGCCCGCTGGACCATCCGGAAGGTGTTCTTTCAAGGCCGCTACTATGAGAGTCTGGCCCAGCTGGAGGACCAGTTTGAGGCTGGCCTGGTGAATGTGGTGCTGGTCCCAGACAATGGCACAGGTGGGTCCTGGTCCCTGAAGTCCCAGGTGCCCCCGGGTCCGGCTCCCCCTCTGCAAGTCCATCCTGAGGGTCCCCGCTTCAGTGTCCAGGGGAACCGAGTGGTCTCCTCATTGTGGACTTTCTCCTTTGGCCTGGGAGCTTACAGCGGCCCAAGGATCTTTGACATCCGTTTTCGGGGAGAACGACTAGCTTATGAGATTAGCCTCCAGGAGGCCTCGGCCGTCTATGGTGGAAATTCGCCAGCATCAATGCTGACCCGCTATATGGATGGCAGCTATGGCATGGGCAAGTTCTCCACTCCCCTGACCCCTGGGGTGGACTGCCCCTACCTGGCTACCTACATGGACTGGCACTTCCTTTTGGAGTCCCAAGAACCCAAGACAATACATGACGCCTTTTGTGTGTTTGAACAGAATCAGGGCCTCCCCCTGAGGCGACACCACTCAGATTTCAGCTCCCACTATTTTGGGGGCCTTGTAGAGACAGTGCTGGTCGTCAGATCTGTGTCTACCTTGCTCAACTATGATTATGTGTGGGATATGGTGTTCCACTCCAGTGGGGCCATAGAAGTCAAATTCCACACTACGGGCTACATCAGCTCAGCATTCCTTTTTGGTACTGCCCGAAGGTACGGGAACCAGGTTGGAGAGCACACGCTGGGCACCATTCACACCCACAGCGCCCATTTCAAGGTGGATCTGGATGTAGGAGGTAAGTCATCTTGGCGGGGGCAAGGATTCCAGAAGAGGGGGCTCAAGAGTTATCTCAATTTGCTTTGGTCTTTATGGAGGTCATCCAGAAAAGGAAGATTTGAGCATGAGTCTGTGGTTTTGGAGTTTCATGCTTCCTCCTTTGCTGGATGGGAGAGAGTTGGCTGCTGAATTTTATTTGGATGTTAGCTCGTTGGCTGGGTGCACAGCTACCACCCTCCCTCCGTGTGAGTCGTCAGAAGATCTTGGGAAATGGCAAAGCTCAGTGAGGAGGCAGGATCAGGATTGGGGCTAACATGGTCCCCTTTGCCCTCTTCCCTCCCTTGCACTTATATGGGCCCCACAGAAAGGAGGCAGCCATTTGTCTTTCTGCTCATCTCTCTGCGTCTGGCTTGTGGTGCTGGTGTTTGGGAGGATCCCATTGCATTCTGTGAGTCCCTGGCATGCAGCCAGTCACTGGAGCACCCCAGGCTGTACATTTCCTGGGGAGATGGACCCTCCTCCTCCCTGATTTTCCACCTCTTTCTGGGCACAATACACTTAAGTGAGAGGGGTAGAATGGATACTGTAGAACATTCTGGATAGTTCCTGGAGTTGGTGGTCACAGAAAGAGCCAAGGCTACATGATGTCTTGGAGTCTTTGTCTCTTCACTTTCCTTCCCCACATTGAGTTGATCACTGGATTTTTTCTGTTCTGCCTCTGAATACCTCAACCCCCTTGCCACTCCTGGTTAGTGCCAGTTCTCACTCTGCTGCTTCCACTCTGCTTCCTTTCAGAATGAGGGTCCGTGCTGTACCCAGAGAGACCTACCAGCCAGGCCAGCCTGCTCCCTCATGCAGCTCCCACTTTCCCCATCACCTAGAGGATGCCATAGGCAGAAGAGCCTACAAGGCCCTTCCCGTTAGAGTACAGCTCCCACAAACTTTCAGATTCTTCCTTGAGGACTGCTTTAGCCACACTCCACCCTTCCTGTCCCTGGACACACACATCACATGTTGCAGTGAGGCTGCTTGGCTTTTTCTCAGGTTTTGCCCCTGCCTAGAATGCCCTGCCGTGTCATCTCTACTGGTGACATCCTGTAAGGTGAGGCTGAAAAGCTGCCCAGGAAGGCCTCCTTTTCCCACCTGCACATGTGTTCCTATAACCTGGACCCTTGAATGTGGTCCTCTCACATTGCATGCCAGTCAGGGCTTTGCCTTCTGTGTCCTCTGTGAGCTCAGGAGGGGAAGGACAATGTTTCATTCATCTGTGTGTCTTCAGAGCCAAGAATAGGCCTCCCTGCTAATGAGTATGAAAGGATGAATGAATGAAATCCTTGAAGAAATATTTTGCAGGTCAACAGCTGTGTCTGGAAGATTGGGAGTGTTTTGGAGAGAGGGGAGTGAAACAGGGGGCACACTCAATTCTGGGCTTCCTTTGGCCTCCACTCTGAAGTCAGGTGGGGGCAGGGTAGCTGCATGACCAGCCTGCCCTCCCACCCTTCCCCTCACCCACATCCACCCCATCCTGGCAGGACTGGAGAACTGGGTCTGGGCTGAGGACATGGCCTTTGACCTAACCTCAGTACCCTGGAGCCCTGAGCACCAGATACAGAGGATGCGGGTGACCCGGAAGCTGCTGGAGACAGAGGAGCAGGCCGCCTTCCCCCTGGGAGGCACCCACCCTCGCTACCTGTACCTGGCCAGCAACCATAGCAACAAGTGGGGTCACCCAAGGGGCTATCGTATCCAGATGCTCAGCTTTGCTGGGGAGCCGCTGCCCCGGAACAGCTCCATGGAGAGAGCCTTCAGCTGGGGCAGGTGAGTGGCAGGGTGTCAGAGAAAGGCTCGGGGAGATGAGAGTGAGAAGGGAACATTGAGAGGGCCAACCGGGAACTCAGTTCAAACAGTCTGTGAGATGAGGTAAGACTTCAGAAAGATTTCCTCGCTATCAAAAGGTACACAGTGGGCACGTGGTCCCCGTGGAGTACTAAAGCACAGGCCTGAGAATTCTTTTCTCTTTAGGATGGGGGAGGGGCAGTGCCAGGAAACGGCAGGGAGATGAACAGGAGGACCTGGAAAGGTGTTGGGTGACCCACTGTGGTGACATCAGAGTCACTGTGTGAATGAGACAGGAAAGCTGAAGTCCCTGCAATCAGCTCCCTTCCATCATAATCAGGCAGTAGGACAGAGTTAGTGACCACGGAGAGCTAACCAGTGCCTCCCTAGGTACCAGCTGGCTGTGACCC